ATTCGGTTGGCCAATCTAAGCGTTTGGCCATTTTCTCAAAGTTTAGGAAGAATTTTTCACATCATGCTCAATGAATTTATGCACGCACTGCCTTGCAATATTACTATCCAATTCTTGTCTCTTCATCTCCAACTCGTGTGCCATTTCCATTTCCCGTCTTTTTTCCTCTATTTCCTTTCCCGTCGTTTTTCCTCTATTTCCATTCTTCTCAAATCATCTTCAATTTGTAATTCACCTTCAAGTTTCAGTTTTTCTATTTCCAGGGCGACAAACTGGGTGAAACCTCAGGGTTGTGTTCACATACTACCCCCACATCATCTTTCTTTAACATCTCAAGTTTTTCCTTAGAAATATCCACTTTCAAAAACCCAGCGGGGTTACATTTACCTGCCATGTCCCTATCTACTGAACCAGAATTTAGTTCAAATTAATCAAAAAACTTTCTTGAAATGAGAAATGACGATATATCTGATAGTTAGCTATTTGGTGTCATCCCGGACAAGCCCACAATTAATTGTTACACTCTCCGATTATCTATTGTGGTTTACAGATTCACGTGCAAACCAATACCTCGATCAGACAAATCTACACAACAGCCGATTTAATAGTATATACAAATGATAAAATGATATTGGGACAAATGAGTATAAGTACGAGTATAAAAGCGTTGATCAGAATCAAGGTAAAGAATTACTCACAGCATTCAGTCCGATTTTACCCGTATTCGGTTGAGGCCTCCTTTACTCTCGGTGCTTCTACTGCTTTGAAGCAGTAGTTTGTAGACAGTCCTTTACAAATGTCTTCTCTGCGTTGCCGTAGTAATTCCAAAGTTGGCAGAATTACACAGAATCTTGAAGATCCAAAACTGACAGGATGAATAATCCTTAAATCGGTATAATCCGCAACAGTAATCATAAACTTGGATTACAACAGAGAGATCAAGCCTCTCAAAACAACAATGTAAAACAGAGAAATAATTTCTCCCAAAACAGCACAATTAGTGCAACAGCACGAAATTGCAATAAATCAAGAACATAGACCACTGCAACACCATTAGTGATAACAGAAGATCGGTTTAGTAAATATAGCATTTATATACATCGGGAACGGGAACATAAGTCAAAAAGCAACTTAAGTATACCAGGAACATAAACTTAACAGGGATTTAAATACACCAGGAACAGGAACATAAACAATAACATTAACACGGTAGATGACAATATTACGACAACCATTTCGCCCCTCTGCCACGGCAGCGGCTGAACTCGGGTGGGTCCATACTCCCGTCTCCGCTCTCCTAACCCAGTCTCTTTAACTACAGAAAACACAGGGTCTTATATACCTTCAAACAGGTGAGAAAATGGATATTCACATCTTATAAGGAACTGGGTTTTCACACACACGGTCATCATTATATCTGGAGATTACAAGTTATCGTATGAATTTCGCTGACTTTTATAAATGTACACAGGTTATATCTACATTGCATTGTCAATAACATGTGAGATTTTTTAAGTCTATAATTAAAAGGGAATAATACTAGATCATTGTGTCATCTGGAGAATATCTTCTCTAAGGGTTAGGGTTAGGGTTCGGGTTAGGTTTATAAATTACATGTCAAACGTACAAATTGAAGCTGTAACAACGGTGGATTGTGGCTAAAACTATTCTGAAGGGTTAGGGTTAGAATTGTGGGTATAAACACTGACAGATATTCTACAGATCGGTCAAGACCCAGTAGCGTGCATTAAAAGGACCGCGAATACGTGCTTATGAAGGAGTTTGTAGAGGGGAATAGCCAATATCGTATATTATCAAAAACAGCTGGGGGTTCAATACGTTTCTCTTTTATATGACAGAAAATTTGAAGAAATTTATGGAGCACTTTGTCACACCACATGGGTCAAACAGAAACATGCGACAAACGTTGAGTTCTGTGCGAGGGCAGAACTACTGGTCTGGTCCGACTTATATAGTGGAGACATTCTCCACAACTTTCCCTAACTTTTTATAGAACCCGTAAAGAGCCTTCCAATTATTTCTAAACATTGTTTCCAGACGTTTCCCCGGTTTCTATAAGTTTCCAAATGACGATTGTAGAAAGTGCGATCGCCTAAAATGGTAATAAATGATAGATTTCGATGAATTATCAGGACCTCATCACAACCCTTACCTTTTACGCAATTATTGGTCCAACTTAGATGGGCTTTAAGATCTTATGGGAGTTCGATTTTGGTGCGCATAGGACCTTTTGTTCTGGAGTTATGGACCTTGCCTATTACGCAAAATGTGAATTGTACAAAGTTTATGGAACCCTCAAATTTTGTCCCATTTAGATCAAACTTAAAATGTATGTTAAGGATCAATCAAATAGGGCAATTTTCGGTGACTTTATTTCGTTGTCTGAAAGTCGAGCATCTTGAAAATAGTCGCCATCTTTGATTTTCGAATGGCTAATGGGCTTTTTCAAAAAAATAGTTTCCAAGAAGTATGTATCACAATTTTAATATCTGTATCCAAACTTGAACGATTTCCCTGGTTTTTTTTAGGCAGTTAGCTGCTGTACTAAAAGCCGAAAAACTACGCACGAACATGCACACCACCTGCCATATCCGATGGATGGTATATTTCTTTTCCTAAAAATATTTATTCCTTAAAGATACATTATGTGAAATTAGATAAAGAGCTGGTAGTTATAAAACTAGATAATGTAAAGGAAATTTGCTGAAAATTTCAGTCAGATTGATCCACCCTAAACAGAGTATTTAGCGATCGAATTTTGGGCCTAGCCTCGATCATCATTACTAAAGTCAGTACGATAAAAAAAACCAGTCTCGATTATCCTGATTTTGATTTAATCAGAAGCAGCAGACCGGGTTCTAATCCAGTAAATATCGCAGGCTTACGATGCTATCGAGAGTTGATTATCGTCTGGATAAGTTAATTAATGTCTAATTAATAATTTAGATAACATTTCAGGCCTAAAGAAAGACCTGCAATTGGCAGATTTAGCTCTTGCATAATGTATGTTTAAATATTAGCATAATACAAACATACAACATTTAATTTATGGGATCTTATATAAATTCATCTTCTCTATGGTACCTTACAGAAAGGCATTTATCCAGCACATTACAGATATATTATAATGACAGAATTTGTAAAACACAGTTTATGAAAGCTTTGATCAGATGTTTGTGATATACATCACTTATTATTTTTGTTATTTAATGAACAATTTTGCTATTCTAATAACGTCCCAAATTTGGCTCGCTCCGCTTGACGTACAGGAAATGCATCCTTTTTTAGTTGGTAACTCCGGTAAAAATATTCATTCAGCATTCCACTCTTGATATATACTATTAAAAAAAAGTAGGGGATATTTGATTTTTAAGTGTTATTAAAGTCACCTAATGAAACTGACGAAGAAACAAATGACAAAATGAAATGAAGTTCACATTCATCGATTTATTCCAAATGATCGTTAGACTAAGTAAGGCACAGACTGACCATTATAAGGGTAAAATGATACCCGGGGTCAAACAGCAAAGTTACCACAGCATCACAACCAAGTCAGTAAAGGGTAAACCCTCCTCTGTTTGCCAAACAAGCATTGATCCGACGTGGCATACTCCTAATGAGACGTCTGAGGTCATTTTGGTCCAGATTGTCCCATTCCTGTTGCAACGCAGCAGCAAGTTCTTGGACATTGGGAGGACGTTGTTGACGTTGACGTAACCTCTGTCCAAGCATATCCCAGACATGCTCGATGGGGGAGAGGTCGGGACTCAGTGCTGGCCAAGGTAATGTGGTGATGTTCTGTTGTTGGAGGTAACCTGTAACGATCCTGGCCCTGTGACATCTTGCGTTGTCATCCTGGAAGATGAAACGGCGGCCATGACGTCGTGCGAACGGCACAACATGGACTGCCAAGATGTTGTCCCGGTAGTACTGGCCTGTAACACGCCCTGCAACAACATGTAAAGCCGTTCTTCCAGCAACAGTGATGCCTCCCCACACCATAACAGAACCACCCCCAAATCGATCATGTCTGATGACGTTAACGTCTTGGAAGCGCTCGTTTCGACGACGCCACACCCTCCTACGTCTGTCCAAAAAATCAACAGTGAACCTTGACTCATCTGAAAACATCACATTGCTCCAGCGTCGATTATCCCAGTATTGACGATCCCTACACCAACGACGTCTTGCCTGAATGTGATGATCTCTCAAACAAGGGATCACGCCAGGACGTCGGGCGCGAAGGTGACCCCTATGCAGTCGATTCCGAATCGTCTGGCCACTCACTCTCAAACCAGTGTTTGTTTGAAGACGAGCGCTGATCTGATTTGCTGTGATGACACGATTTCTCAAGGCCAAGGTACGGATAAATCGATCCTGGGCTTGAGTTGTCGCCCTTGGTCGACCTGAGCGTGGTCTGTCCTGTACAGATTGTGTATCACGGTATCTGGACCATAGCCTGCTTATGACAGACTGAGAAACATTCATCGTCCGCGCCACAACCGCCTGTGTTGTGCCGATCTGTAGCATGCCAAGGGCACGTAACCTTTCATTTTGGGTAAGCCGACGCATATCAAAATTTGTTTTCTGGTCACTAAAACAATTAAACTGATGTTTCCACCCTGGAATTCAATGCCACAATGACTGTAACATTCAAAGTCAGAGTCGTGCAAATCTTGGGTTGGACCCCCATGATGATCCCAAGCATCACCTGCATTCCATGCGGTAGCTATTGGTGCGTTTGGGCGTCACATGTAACTGGAAATGTTTCTTCTGTTAGGTTCTATAGTGACTTTTTTCGTAGTCATTTGCATATTTTAGTATTATGCCCCCAAAATCAAATATCCCCTACTTTTTTTGAATAGTATATATACAGTGTATATTCAATAAATAATTATTTCTATATAATCGAATTGACAGAATACAATGAAGACTTTTCATTAAATAAAGAGTTTATTCACTACATACTATGTGTGTTGACGATTTATAAAAGTATTTATTTCAAGCTACTCTACCTTTACTTCGTGACATAATGTATGAGCTGGTGGATTCAGTAATGCTGATTTTATTGCCGAATTGGATAGTGGACATTTTCAATTATTTTTTTGTACAAGTATTTTTTTACTCGCAGTGTTACGAAACTCTTAATTTCTGCAGTACCCATTTACTATTATATCAACTCAATTTCTTTACAACTCTTCATTGGCAACAATTGGTTGTGCTTACTTTTGTGATATAACGTACAGGACTAATTTTACAGGCCGACCAACCAGTTGTTGATCATGGGGTCGCCGGGCCACGGGCAGCCAAAGGCGACCGTCGCTGAGGAGGGATTCTCCCGCAGGAAGGTTTGAAAAGTGGGTGGCTCGGGCAGTAGGAATCATGTAGTTATAGAACTATGAGCGTTTATGTTTAGGCATAACGACCTTTAGAGCCGATTTCAGAATAAAAATCTTCAAAAACATCGCGAAAACACTTTTGCACGGCGCGGCGCAGGTGTCTCTCTGTGGGGGAATCATACGCCAATTGGCTGGACTCCTGCCAAACCAGCTTGACAAGTGTGATGACACCTCGATTCTTAGTTTATCAGAGCGAGCGGGTAACGTTGAGTGGGGAATGTGACCCATAGGAAACACTTGGTCTACCCACAAGACTATAGAGTCCCCAAAGTCGTACACCCCTACTTTGCCTCTGTTGCTCTCGCCATGATCCGTTACTGTTACCAATATCTTTCAAAACATAAAGACCGGATGTCAAATAACGCGAACCATAAGTCGTATTAACACCCAACTCAAATATTATACAAATATGGAGGGAAAATTACGTTTCTTGTGCATATTAAATGTACATGTATAAATCCTTGACAACAGAGAAAGTTGGCGGAAAAAACCCAACTTATCATTCCATTTGCACTCGCAGTCATATAGTAAATATAAAATAAAAACGTGAGATAATAAATCTCATTTGATTCTCTTGTTGCTGGCCTATACAATGTACTTTCTCAAACGTTTATAAGGCGATTTAGTTTCGAGGTTTTTATTGGTTTCTGTGTAGTTAATAATGATCTCAATATGAGAAGTGTAATGTATATAAACTAACTATTGGGTATTCAACTGTTTTTCTCTAGTTCATAAGGTGATACTGGTGAAGGACTACGTTTAAATGAAGAATCCGATCGACCGTCTGAGTCTTTGTTTTTGGACGGGACTAGTTTCTTTGTGTTAGTTTGTTCTTGGTTTACGTTTTCACTATTTTCATATATACTTTCATCCTCTATATAATTCTCATTTACTAAGGTGAATGGTTCAATATCCATATATTCACGACTTAAATGACTATATCCCGGCGGTGTAGGGCATTCTCTTGGCGTTTCCCTACTCAAACGATCATACTCCGAGGCTTTTTTTCTATCAATGGCGTTCTGTCTCTTTGGATTGTTTTTGGCTTCCTTTGCCGCTGCTGCACTTTTCCTATCAGCTAATTTCTTTTTCCTAACAGTGCCGACATCAACGTATTCTACATCTTTAGCAATCGTCTGCTGAGCTGGACTTAACGGTAATTCACGACTCTTCTGTTTGTCAATTTTCTTCTTTTTGCGCACCGCCGCCGCATCTACGTAGGCTGCTGAATCATTAGCACATTCTTCGCTATTTATATTCACAATATTGCCTTTAACGTCCCAAGGCGGAGAATAATTACAGGCAGGTGCCTCAAATACCATTAACTCATCGTGTTTAACGGATCCTCTTGGTTCCTTCTTGTTACTAGATGTAGGACTTGAATCAATCGTGGCATACGGTTCCATCAGATCTGTTTCAGGATTCCCCCCTCTCTTTTTCTTCCTGGAATATCAGATATCAATGCATTTCAAAAATATCAAATAGTACAATCAACCCGAAGGAATATACTAAATATAAAATTTACAGAGAGAATGAGGTTTAACAGCTACTCAACATAAACTATTGGTCAATTCAGGATTGACATAGGGTGTATTTGTATTTAAATAATTTGCTTGTGTGCAAGGTTCTTTGGCAGAGGGGGGAGGGACCTGCGATGTGAAGCTGGCGACCCCACTCGTCGGGTCAAAGATGCGATTGAATGACAAACCTGATGATGTTACGCACGCGTTACACCACCCAGTCGTGGCCCTGGAAAGTGCCTTTGTTTTGGGGTATTTTAATGGGGAAGGGGCCGGCGGTAGCAAAACAAAGGCTGAACTTCGCGACGTTTTACAATTTAGCCCTGTCGTCCTATTGTCAGCCAGCGGACAGCCAACATGACAGCGGTCCTGATAAGGTTACTTTAGTTTTCAACGTGTTAAACTGGAGCGAATGGTCCTGGTAATGTCCTATTAGACACTGTATCTCAAAGGGAACGACCGTGCGTTTAAGTACTCTCGTCCCTACCAACCCAATCATAACTGGTTCTTCTGGCAAGTTTCTTGGGAAATAATTGTCTTCGATATCACCCTCTTTAGAAGAGGACGTCAACTCCCACTAACGAACCAACGACCATGACAATACAAAGGGATTAATTTTTAATGTGTATTTCTCATAAACGCAATCAGAATAAGTTATAAATTGAAACAGACAGACGCTAATTTCATTAACTATACCATATACATAACAATTAAAGATACATTATAGGAGATTATGATAGAGCTGGCAGTTCTCGCTATAATAGTTAAAAACTAGATAATGTAAATGGAATTTGCTGTAACTTTCAGTCAAATTGATCCACTCTGAACTAAGATTTTAGCGATTGAATTTTCGGCCTAGCCTCGATCATCATTACTAAAGTCGGTGCGATAAAAAAACACATAGTTTCCATTATCCATTTCGTGATTAAATCATGAATAAATTAAAAGTTGAACAGCAAATGGGGTTCTAACCCAGTAAATATCACAACCTTGAGTTGACATCGAGAGTTGATTATGGTCTGCATAGGTTAATTAATTTCCAATTAATAATTCAGATAACATTTCAGGCCTAAAGAAAGACCTGTATTAGGCAGATTTAGCTCTTGCATAATGTATGTTTAAACTTATATACTAACTTTATTGCTAATACAATTATAGCTGCTATGATGGCTGTTAGTACAACACCTCCAATAAAACCTCCTATAATGGCTGCTATTGGTAGACCTACAAAAAAGAGAATCTATTCAACTATCCTACAACAACTCCTCGGTTCAAATAGAAGCCAAATTTACCCCCATATGATGCTAATGGAGAGTAGCAAACGGTACCTCTACAAACGCCTCCCACCCCCACCCCCGGCGCAAAATTGCCGATCGGAATAAATAACGTGAGAGAAAAGTTCGATTATTAGGCTATCCGGGAAGTACGTGGGTTTTATATTTTTATCTTCTCATAATAATTCCAGATATATAGAAAAGACATGCCTTTAAACAAGTATAAAATAATAGTTTATGGGGTACATTATTACCTACCGTTAGTCTTAACATCATTATTAGTTAAAGATAAGCCCTCTCCTTTAGTTGCTGGTACCATTTCTTCCAATTTTTCTGTAAAAATATATTCCACGCTTTTAATAGTAATTACAAAAATACACATTTCTCAACTACTGTGTGATGCGTCCTCCTGCACATACTATTATAATGTGATCGTATGTTATCGCAGCCAACGTTTATCTGTTCCATATTTTCTTGCATACTTTCAGGACTAGATTCGGGGAAAATTCAATTGCTAGCTTTTAATTATTTATTTACTTATAGTCATACAAACCAGATTTTTTCCAACCATGTACACCACAACTAACTCTTATTTCTTCATCAAGGGATGCTGTAAAACATAAAACACTAATGAACCTTTGTGGCAATGTTTTATGTAGCATATTTTAAGTTTGTGAATATGATAAAGGAAATATAATTTTAACCCGATGGGATAGTTTATTCAGGCATAAACAAGAACCCTGTTAAATTCAAACGTGTTCAATGGCAAATTGTCTCTACGTTCAAACTCCTGAAATATTGTAAACCCGAATGACAACAGTTGTTAGGAGAATTATATAAAGTTTTGTGGGGTTGTCTTTTTCTGTGGTTACAGATTCTTTGTTCTGTATAAGAACATGTATGCGTAGTCATTTCTAATATTTATACAGGTGTGTCCGCCCAATTCACTATTCAACCAAGGTTAAAATAAATCAGCTTCTTTGATTGGGATCTAAAAACCTGTCGACTTCACTGGATTTTATATGTGATTGATTTGTTTTGTATACTATAGAACAAAATCAAAGGTGTTGCTTCTCTGATTTCGGTTTAAATATAGTATTGATCTTATGTGTTACGTAGATAGTGATTGGGCAAGCAATAAACTATACCATTATTGTGGAAAATACATAGGGTGCTTAACTCTTTTTTTCTGTGTGTGTATGATCAGAACCAGAGTCGATTACCAGCTACGGAGAGGCAATCCTTCAATCGCGGGCTCGGATTTTGGAGTAACCAGCCATCGGAGTCTGTTCACTCTGATTTCAGCAAATCGTGGGAAAGTGGGGGGTATAAGCGCGACATGAGACATCCGGAATACGCTAAAAAAAACTGTTAAAATGTGTTGTAACATATTGTTCAAGGCATACATAAACTGCGAACTGACAGGACTTGCTCTACGGATTGTTATATCTGAAATACTGGATTGATTCGATAAGTCACATTGAAAAAATGAATATTTACTGTTTTTATAGAAAGGGCTCGATGAAAATTTTTATTTTTTCTATTTTGGTATTAGATAAATTGCCAAGTCTCCGATAAAAAAGAAATCGAGTGGGGAACATTTTTTTAACCCTATCGGAACTTCAACGCATATGTGTATACATGACGTACCTTCAAAACCCAACCAAACAAAATCTGGCACATCTTTCTTCAACACCAACTGAGCTAAAGCAACTGTTGTAGAATTCAATACGGAAACAAATGGATAGGGAAAACCAGGATCGTGTACACTTTTACAAGTAATGTCTTTAATAGTTTTACCAGCTGATATTGATACCATAGAATCAGAACATTGTGTAGACTCGGCTTGATTCAATCTGATATCAACTACAAATACAGATATAGGATTTTCCACCGGAAAAGTTGTAGAATGTGCCACACATGTACAGAGTTTTCCATCTTTCCAAGTTTGGGCCCTTTTAGCATCATACGCAGCAAATACTGTTCTACCAGATACTGTGATGATATTATCACTACAGAAATCAGCTATGAACGTATCTGAAATATATGTAAAGGGTAAAAGCTGAATAGTTATCCAAGCAAATATATACCAATAGTACATAGTTTGAATGGAAGTTCCACATTATTCACTACAATCAATTCATTTTATACGTCAACATTTCGGTGTGGACGTATTATACCGTCACCCTATCCGCCGGCCCGTCCTCAATTGGCTTGTGACTTAGGATGCAGTTTTAAAGGGTTTTTTTTTCAAATTTGGTGGGAAGCATTGAGGTCAGGAAAGGAGGGTAATATTTCATCTCTCAATTTCTTAGTTAAATCAACATTATGAAATAGGTTGATAGAGATTATGAGCCGTTTTCCCAAAGGTTTACTAATACTACAGGCCTTCGGGAATGAATTGTCGTACCAGATGGATGGTTCAAACTAGCTACGGGAACGTAACTAAAAACGCTGAGATATGCTGATGTGCTTGTTTTTACCTACGATTGGATGCCTTTAGTTCCAAATGGCAAACTCAATTTCTTTATTAATGTATTATTAATTAGTACTTATTACACATACACAGTCCAATCTTCTGAAACAACATTCATTTATCAGCAAATATTGACAATAAAGTAAATCAAGCGTTGTTTTTATCAAAATTGATTCGGACGTTCATAATTACGCCGTAATACCTACTGCGCAACTCTGATCAAATGGGTACTTTGATTGGCTATTGCACACGAGGCCCCACCTTTATGTGTTACAGACGTAAATTTAAAATGTCGGAAAAAGCAATCTACTGTCGCTTTGATTTAAAAAGAGGGGATTTGTACCCGTTTCAGGTAGGATTATATACTTAATTGTAGTTGGGTGTGGCAGAAATATTATAAATAACAATAACCAATCGTTGTTTTGATTAAAAATATTGTCAATTTTGTTTACAAATGCCGGGTGCGAATCGCTCCCGCATGTGCTACATTGAAGGCAATGGCCTCATCTCTTATCTCGAAACACGGAGGGTTGAGAGATTAAGGTTTGTTATCTAGGTTTAAACCAGATTCCAGCTGATGATAATCAATAATATAAATACAATCTAATTAAAATCTTATATTTATTTCGTCCAGGCCCACGTGACAAGGAGTAGGATCGCCTATCCAACCTATCCGTACGCGCAAGCGAACTATTGAAATAAAATTGAACCATATGTTAGTCCCGAAATGACCTAGTTTGTGTCGAGTGGACGTTATTTGAAAGAAACACATTTTAAAATTATAAAACTTACTGTAAATAAAGAGAAGGAAGACAAGTATGGTCTAATGTCAATTAGAGGTGATAATTAGGAGATAAACACTTCCTGTTTCGCATTTAGAGGGGTGTTATTGTGTAATACCCATATCCTAAGATCATTTTTCTAGCTCTCTTATTATATTTTTAAGCGATGTCTTGTATTGGCCTATCATTAAGCAGATCATGGTAGTAAGAATTTGATCAAACCGTGATTTAAAAACTTCCACTTTATTAAGTAAACATTGTTGAGTGTAAAAAAGAAAACAAAATTGTCCACACTCCTTAGTTACGATTAATTTAGGATGCCTGAAAACGGTTTTAATTAATTTATGACTGATTTTCGGGGATGTGTTTGGATAAAACATGTGTGATGGTCATTTGTGCAGAATTTCTTAAAGATTTGTCAATAAAGATTTGAGTTCAGGAAGTTCATTGACCACAAAAATGAAAAAAATTTGTGTGAGTTAGTTGTATTTTACGTCCGCTTCCACCGAGGTGATATCGCAGACAAAAATGAAAAAAGAAATTACTTTGTGATAATTATACGCAGTTAATTGCCTTGCTAAAACAGAGAGGTGTTATTGTCCAATCGACAGTGTCTAATTGACCAATCAAAACACAAGATTCGCCCTTAAGCATCTTACAATTATACATACCATTAACACAGACATAATCTAATATAGTATATGTTGTATTATGTTGATTTGGTGGACCAGTTGCTGGACACACAGTAGCTAAATCTTCATTTCCTACTATATTTACTTTACACTACAAATATAGGATACAATCAGGTAAAAAAACAGGGGGACAAAATCAGGCCAAACAAAGAGAGTGTAAAATCAGAACAAACAAGGGGGGGGGGGGGGGTGCGGGCGGTAGAATTATAAAGCAAGCTAGACAACGAGAGATTAAAAACAAACTGGAAATAGAGAGCAAAATCAAGCTAGATAAAGTCAGGTCAAACGCAATGTTACTGAATGTTACTATGACTTCTATAAGTTCTCCTTGTTAAAAAATAGTATTTTATCTGGAATGTTGTTATGTCTCGAATTTGGAGTAACCAAATGCAAATTTGAAGGTGTAAACATGGTATGATTATGGTGGCTGATAGTGGCCATGTTAAATTTCGCCCTTTTCATAACGCGACAACACGACATCACGACAGTATTGACGCAATCACGCGACATTTTATTCTGTTGTAACATCGTGTTATTTTTGTCGTAACGTCGAGATGTCGACTTGTCGACTTAGTCTCTTTCTACAAATCACAAAAATATAGCTGTACTCATTACATTATATGGTTTAAACAATATTTATTCATAAAATATCATAAAATACATTACAGTTTTAAAGATATGGTACAAAAACAAGCTAAAAGCTTATATAAATTTGCTTCATATATGGTTATGTTACTTACTTGTGATATTTCAAGAATATGATAATGTACTTGTTTCTTGACGATGAATGTTCAATTCAACAATATAAATAAAGAAAGATAAATAAATGAGTAACAGGCCATTCTAACCACCACGCCAACTAACTAGATTACATTAGATATACAGTTAATGTTGAAGAATAATTATTAATTATTTATTTATCTAGAGACGTATTCCAGTCGTTCGCAAAGATGATTTTCCATGTGTCAAAACGTTTTGTTAGTTTTAAATAATCATGCACTATCTGGAATATATTTTCGTTTACATCATCAACAAGATCATTGTTACTTTTAAGTAAACAAATGATAGACCGTTGATCATATGACAGTTTATTAATAGTTGCATTGCGGATAGCTGAATAATTATTACAGTAGAGAAAATAATGTTCGGCATTCTCTATTTGATGGCCACATGAGCACTTTGGGTTATCACTGATATTCATAAGGAATTTATGGAAGTTTAAATTACATGTACTTTTGTTGTTACGAATCCTGCAATGGATTAGTTTGTACTGACTTTCGCCAAGTACTAGGTGTGTTAGTGTCCTACCTGTTGTGTAAATTATCCATTTAATCCTATTTTACTTGTCCAAAGGGTTCAAAAATATTTTTAAATCCAAGTCACATTTGAAAAGCTTTACGTCAGACTTTTCAAATCATTAAGTTGAATTTTCCAATTTTTTAAATTTGGTGTGTTAAGATGAAGTTTGTATCATCAATTAATTGCAATATTGTAAAATACAGTAGAATCTGCATTAAGCAGCCACCCAAAGGAATTTTCACAACTGACCGCTTAACGGGAGTGGCCTCTTAATAAAATCTCGTTGCTTTTTGTGCCGACATAAATTAAATATTACGGTTGGATGCATTGGAAGCGGTATATTTGGCCGTCGTTGAATCTTGCGCCGAACGAAAATTCTTTACTCAAATCTCGGACATAACTTAACGGGAACGCTTACAAGGAGATGTCGCTGAATAGGAGTGGCTGCTCATACAGATTCTACTGTAGTACAATTTGTTGACCGGAATAAAGATTAGGACATATTATCCAGTTACAACAAGAGTGGTATTGGGCCTTTAAATATCCGGAGGTTTGATTTTTTGACATTTTATGAAATAAGACAAGCTTATGCATATACCTTCTATCTTTGAGAGATGGAAGGCCAGATTCGGCATAGAGTTGTTTGTGCGAAGTGCCTCTAACAAGGCCTGTAATAGTACGTAATGCGTCCAAGTAGTTTTTATACGCCCCTGTCCGTCCGTCCGTCCACAATTTTGTAAACACTCTACAGGTCACAATTTTTATCCGATTTCAATGAAACTTGAAATATAGGTTTATCACCTAAGATCTCGGTTACTTTGGATATTGGCGCATATCGGACCATGACTTCCTGAATTATGGCCCCTGACCAAAACTGTCGGACAAAATGGCCGCCCCTCGTACGCGGATAGTGTAGAAATATGGTATATCAAGGGTGTGGACCCTGTAGAGCTCACAATTTTGATCCAATTTTGATGAAACTTGAAATACATGTTTATATAACCCAAGGATCTTGGTTCCTTTCGATATTTGCGCATATCGGATCGTAACTTCCTGAATTATGGCCCTTGAGTGTACGAAAAATTGCGTTTTTAGCTTGTGGTTCCTCTATGGGTCACAATTATTATCCGATTCCGATTTTAAAAAATCGTGTGAATATATTACCGTTAGACCGTAATGATGGTTGAGTTCGAATTTCGTGAAAATCGGACCAAAACTGTCGGAAAAAATGGCCGCCCCTTGTACGCAAATAGTGTGAACATCTGGTATATCAAGGTTGTGGACCTCCTAGAGGTCACAATTTTGATTTGATTTTGATGAAACTTGAAATGCATGTTTATAACCCAAAGACCTTGGTTCCTTTTGATATTCGCGCATATCGGATCGCAACTTCCTGATTTATGGCCCTTGATTGTACCAATATTGTGTTTTGAGTTTGTGGTCCCTATAGAGGTCACAATTTTTATCCGATTTAAAACACCGTTTTAATATATCACCGTTACACCCTAATGATAATTGAGTTCGAATTTCGTGAAAATCGGACCAAAACTGCCAGACAAAATGGCCGCCCCTTGTACGCAAATAGTATAAAATATGGTATATCAAGGTTGTGAACCCTCTAGAGGTCACAATTTTCATCCGATTTTTATGAAACTTGGAATGCGTGTTTGTATTCCAAAGATCTTGGTTCCTTTCGATATTCGCGCATATCGGATCGTAACTTCCTGATTTATGGCCCCTGATTGTACGAAAAATCACGCTTTTAATTTGTGGTCCCTCCTTAGGTCATAATTTTTATCCGATTTTAAAAAACGTTTTAATATATCACCGTTACGTCCTAATGATGGTTGAGTTCGAATTTCGTCAAAATCGGTCTACAACTGTCGGACAAAATGGCCGCCCCTTGTACACAAATAGTGTGAACATCTGGTATATCAAAGTTGTGGACCTCCTAGAGGGCACAATTTTGATTCGATTTTGATGAAACTTGAAATGTATATTTATAACCCAAAGATCTTGGTTCCTTTCGACATTCTCACATATCGGATCGTAACTTCCTGATTTATGGCCCTTGATTGTACGAAAAATCGCGTTTTGAGCTTGTGGTCCCTATAGAGATCACAATTTTTATCCGATTTAAAAAAAAACGTGTGAATACATCACAGTTATACACTAATGATGGTTGAGTTCGAATTTCGTGAAAATCGGGCAAAAATTGTACGCAGGTAGTGTAAAAATATGGTATATCAAGGTTGTGGACCCTCTGGAGGCCACAGTTTTTATCCGATTTGGATAAAAGAAGGGGTCCCATGGCTGAGCCCAGGGGAACTCCTGAAGATACAGTTTTTAACTTGGAATATTCACCTTTAAGTACAACTGCCTGTTTTCGTTTTTGTAAATAGTTTTCGATAAGTGAAAGTAGTTTACCCCTTATGCCAATGGCATTTAGTTTATGTAGTAGACCTTTATGCCATACGCGATCAAACGCCTTGCTGATGTAAACAAATATTACTTTGACTTCAGTACCTTGGTCAAGGGACTTCGAAATTTGATCATAAATATCTAAAAGTTGGTAGACTGTGGAGTCGTTGAGTCTAAATCCAGATTGGGGCAGAAATGTGCAAACGAAGCTTTCTTGGAAAAAAACTCCCGATCAATTGGCCAAAGGTAAAAATTTTGAGAGGCCTCGAAGTTTTCCGACAGTCGAATTGGATAGGTACCAGCCAAATCCCGAATTTGCCTGGTTTGCAAAAAAGTTTCAAATAACTTTTTCAATGTAAATACCGTTTATGGTCGGCGGTCTAGACTTACATTATCACCCCCCAAAAAAGACCCAGTCCGAAATCCGTGCCCAAATGGGTCATATTGGCCAAAATCCAAAATGGCCGCTGGTTTTGGCTTGTAAATTCCAATTTCCACCCAATTATCATAATATGATCGAGTTTGGTATCATAATATACGTTTTCGGGGTAACTGAATCAATTTCCATACATACTTTTGTGATAGGTGGTACCGCTGAATCATTATTGAGAGTTATTCAAAATGACGGTCAGTTTTGGCGGGAAAATTCGAATTTTACTTAAGGGTCAAATTTGGTGTCAAAATTTACGTTTTCGAGGTAGCTCTATCCACATTTGTACACAATTTAGTGATTAAGCGATTCACCTGTGTCAATATAGGAGAAGTTCAAATTAGGGATTTAGATTCCGATTAGGGATTGGAGATTAATGATACTCCGACCTTAGGCCTAATACAATGACATTCATCCAGTATCAAATAAATTTCATTTGGAATGTCTCACTGCGGTAGCGGCGTAGGGGTATGTCGATTGGGGCCATTCCCAGGTCACTACGGAAGCTGGTCATGCCTATTGAAGCACGTGGCGAATTTAATTCACAAAATGGTTCAAATGTTGAAACTCAAATAGATGCAGTATCGCCTGTTTGTCAGATGTGCAGTGAACCATTTGATAATGAACAGCCCATCGTTATTCCGAAAATAACGGGTATTGGAGGTTTTAATAAGGCCGCTAAGCTGAGAAATTATGGTCGTGATTTTAAGCTCAGTGAAAAATAACATGTGGAATGTCGCAACTTTCACTATTGCACAATGGTGTAACGATATTGAAGTGGAGGAGCCTGTATCAAGGTCTACATCGTTAGACGGTCCGTAGTACTAAAATTCATTTTTGCGGACCAACGTCCCTTACACGGTCTGTTGGAAAGCCTAGCAGACGGTCCATTACTACAGATATAATCGGTGACCGCTGTTAACACCTATTTTGTTAGACAT